GTCTTTCTTTTTCTTTCACTCACCCACTCTTGCTCTCTTCCCAGCTAATGCTTTCTTCCTCACTCCCTGCCAGTCTTCTCTCTCTCTCTCTCTCTCTCTCTCTCTCTCTCTCTCTCTCTCTCTCTCTCTCTCTCTCGCTCGCGCGCGCGCACACACACATGCACACGCACGGTAAACTGTATCTCCTCTTATGTGCACTCGTGTGACCCACCCATACTTTCACTCTTTGTCTCTCTCTCTCTCTCACACACACACACACACAGTCATTCACACAGACGGGGCACCTGCGCCTGACTGCTTTAATCGCTGAATAGGGGAGTTTAGCAGCTAACAATAGTAGTTATGAGCTGACCCATTATTCTCTAACACACAGAAAAAGAGAGAGAGGGACTAATGCTAGCAAATAAAATATAGTTAGATTTTATTTCTATCATTTTTAGGTTAGTAGTTGCTAATACATTTCTTGTCTTAAACTGCCATTTGTTTGTTCTATATCGTGTGTATATTTCACACATATCTTAACAAAAATGCAAGAAAATAACAGAATACTGTCTCTACTTTGCAAAAAAAAAAGCATTAGCAAAATGGTGAAACAGTGTAGTAATTCACAGCATCCATCCTAATACATTTTGAATGGTGGAGAACCTGCAGTATGAGAGAGAGAGAGAGAGAGAGAGAGTGTCTTGGTAGTACAACTCAGTGGTTTTACTGCCATATAGTTTCACAGGCAACAATAGCACTTAAGAGCTGACAATAATAATACAGTAACGAAAGTAATGACATAGTGTTGGTCATTTAAGGACACCCTATGAGCTGACCAATGATTTGCTAAGCTCAAACTGAAGGCACCAAAGAGACACTAAGGGAGCATTAGGATCAATGCATGTGTTCTTTAAAGGGCAGGGAAATGTTGATATCAGGTCTAGCTGGGAGTAGAAGAGACAGAGAGTAAGATGAAGGGATGTATGGAGAGACAGGCAGACAGGCACACAAACATACACAGGGATTATCCTTTGTGTAATCCTCGGTTTGAGGGTCAGAGTGCAGTGTAAAGGGACAGACATGTTCTGAATTTTCACACCAGCAGTGTGTGTGGGTGTGTGTGTGTGTATGACAAACCGTGCGTGTGTATCGTGACTGAGTGTGTACATATGTTTTAGAGTGTGTGTGTGTGTGTGTGTGTGTATAGCATGTGTCATTGCGTGACAGATCGTACAAGAGAACAGCACAGATTAGGATTCTGCACTGAGTGTATAGTGTGCGGTTATTTCAAAACCAAACTGGGGCTCAGTAACTGTCAGCTGTTGGGCTGCATCGGGATCCGACGCAAATCTTGGGGGAGCGAGCGGTTTAAACTTTGCTGCATGTGGGAGCGGGCGTTCCAAAAATAAACTGCAGAATGAAAAATTTTGGAAATGAGTTCCTTTGCGTGCCAGTGATCACGCTGTCTTGAAGTAACTGTTTTTTGGTTTTTTTTTAAATAAACACCATGTGAAAGAATTGGACATGTAAGCATGTCCTCTTACATGACTGTGAACTAGACTGAATCCAAGCAAGTTCATGGCCGATGCCAATACAAATAAAAGGTACGGTGGCTCATAGTGACCAATCTTTTAGCCAAATGAGCTACAAAAATCAAATCAAAGTGTTATGACCGACAGGTGGCCATTACAGGACCGTATTGGGTTTGGGATCCAGCGGAACCCAACACAAATCTTCTGGAGTAGGTGGTTTAAACTTTTCTGCGAGTGGGAGCGGTTTGTCTGGGACACACACATTGTGAGAGCGGGCAGTAATGCTCAGAAATCCAGCGGGAGTGGGATTAAGAAAACAGTCCTGAGCATGGCTCTACTGTGGGGGAATAGTTTGAAAAGCTGGTTGCTTGTTGCATCAGTGATCAGCATTTGGAATGTCCCAGTGCGATCTGCTGCGTTGGATTTTTAATTCATTAGTCTCAACTGTGTGATGGTCAGTTGCCTTCCAATCCTTGGTTTGTTGGAACTCGTTGCACTCTGTGTACAGCAGCTGTCAGAAACAACCTTAGTTGCTCAAATGAAACACTGGGAAGCTGATGATACACAGAGCAACTTTTATAGCAATGGTGCTGGGCAATGTTGCTGTCAATGGTAATGAGTAAAGGTTACTACTGTAATAACCCCCCTCCCCACTGTCCCTTCCCGCCACTATCCGTTCAAAACATAGTCGGACTTGCCACCAGCTAGATTACCCAGCAATATTGCTCAAAAAGTTGCTCTGTGTATCTTGCTTGAATACTAGTTTTTAAGTGATTCTTAAAAACTAGTATTCAAGCAAGTGACACCAATGAATGATATCCACTCTGACAACAGACAGTGCAGCTTTAGGGAGAAAATGGTTGTTTTGCATCTCTTTCAACCAAGTTTTATGGGTAGTCTACACTTCTGAAGTACTGTTATAGTTGGTTAAAAACTGTGATTCCGGTTCAATGCAGTTTTTCGTTTTGGGGGTTGGTTGGTCGGTGTGTTGGTCCACCACTTTGGTCTTGACCGAAATATTTCAGCAACCATTTAATTAAGCACCACCAGCAGGCCAAAATTTTCCTTTTTCCGGTAAATTATCTCAACATCGACTTGATGGATAGGCATATTATTTTCTACAAACACACATGGTTTCCAGACAATCAAGTGTGATGACTTTTGTCATGCTCTGTCTGTGGTAAGCAGTCCTGCAGCCCAAATCATGTTACCTTGTGAGGCAGCTGGATTTGCGAGATCAAGTGAGATTCCAGCCCTGATTGGTTACATAGCCTGTCCCGAATATACAGTATAGCAGAGACTAGGGATAGCTCCCGCGGTAGAAACTATATTGCCAAATCTCTTTTGGTGGACACATTTCTACTGTTGCATGGTATATACCATCATATCTCCATCATCATCATATTTCGTTTCGACGTTTGGCACAGATTCATGTTCCCCTCGGGATGAACAGAACCATGCTGAATTGAAATGAAAGCTAGGTCCTGTTTGTGTGTTGGAGGTATTAAGAAATTATATAATTACAGTACATTATCAGTGAGGGCGGTGGAGTGTAAGTGTGTCTGTGGGTGTGTATGTGTGTGTGTCTGAGACATGAGGTTGAAACCAGCTGGTTGTGATCGCTAAACAAACTGCACACCACCCATGCACACGTGTACAAACGCACACCTGTTACTACTTACACACACACACAGAGGTTTGTGTTGCGCTCATTACTGACCATTTCCTCATTTGGAAAAACAACCAAGCCAATCAGAGCCTTTTTTTTATAGTTTGGACTTGGGTTGGAAATGACACCTTTACTGGACCAGAGCCAGAATCTAAACAAGGTTGTGAATTGTGTATTTTGAAATTCACCGTGATAATGAAATGGCTCAACAAGTGAACCAACTGCAGCTAACACAGTGTCTGGAGTGACAGAAAATTCGTAAAGTATTGTAAGTATCATTAATGGGCATCAACAAGGAGGAGGGGGGAGGGGAAAGTAGCTCTTGCAGTTCTGTAGGTCCAGCATGTAATATCTGCTGTAAATCAGATGCGGTTTGAAATGGGTTTATGCACGGTAATAATCTCCATTGTCACTTCTGCGCTCGTCCACTAATCTGTATTTTTGCTGTGGTAATCTCTTGTCTCCATGGGGATTTATTGTTTGTAGTCCATGAATGTCAATGTTCCTCCCCTCTCTGCCCCCATTCTGCCCCTTAGAGTTGGGTGGGCGGGTATGTTTTTAAAAAAAATTTTTTATTAGCCTGAGAGTCTTCCTATCTGCTTCATCAGATAGTAAATGTGAAAAACCACTGAAGCCAGAAAATTAACTCAGCCTTTTCTCTTTCTTTCTTGACTTTTTGCACTCACTCCCGTGTCTGTCTCTCATAAACTTTTATCTCTTGGGCCACAGGCCAGGTCAGGAAGTTGTTGTTGCTATGGCGACTAAAACCCAGGCAGACAGCAGTAAAGTTTTAAGTGGAAGAGCCGTAGTGTTTGTATTTGTGCAACTTGTGCTGCAGTAGGATTTTTTTGTGACTGTAAGGGGTAAAAACAGCAACACTCTAAATGAGGAAATAAACATAGGTTAAAGTTAGGGATGCACGATAATTATCTGCTGATATTGGGCATGTTTCATATCAGAAAATTAAAATTTTGGCTGATAATTTAGTCAATAAGAATTAAACAATGCTTTACCATGCATAGCTGCTGTTGTCAAACTCACGATGTCATATATATGATTTAACATCTTATGTAGGTCCATTTGATTTATTTTGAATTCCTATGCAAAAACATAGGCATTATGTCCTAGGAAAGCCATACTTTATTTAAAAAAATATTTAGTCAAAACTGTTTGTTGTTATTGTGTTAACAAAAGTGATGTCCGTTAGATTTGGTTAGGTCAGAGATATGAAATATTAAATTCTATATCTTGCTGTACATGCCATATTAGCCTTTCTTACCAGCAGTTGTGTGAACATCACAGGTTATTACTTAGTTTTAATTTACCAAAATGTGAAGAAGTTATTGGGTATCGGCCATGAGAAGTAGGCAATTATCGTTTATTGGCTTGGTGGGGAAAAATTTATATTATTATAATTAGTATAATTATAATTAGTCTAGTAAAAGTGTATATAAAAGTCAGCACTGCTCTCACCACTGGGATTTTTAGCCAAAATAGAAAAATCTTGTGGACGCGGAGCTCAGTGTCGTAGATCTTCTCTGATTGTCCTTGGTAGTTTCCATCAGTTCTCTTTCTCTCTCCTTTCTCCTTCATCCATCCATTGTTTACCTCTCGCCATCTCTTCCTCCAGCACCCTACTCCTCTCGCTCGCGCTCTCTCTCTCTCTCTGTCTCTGTCTCTCTCTCTCTGTCTCTCTGTCTCTCTCTCTCTGTCTCACACACTCCTGCACCATCTCCACCCCCGCCCAACCTTCCTGTTCTCTCTCTCTCTCTCTCTCTCTCTCATTTTCTGCCCCTGTTTCTCCGAGCGATAGTCTCGAGGGAAGCAGGTTCAGGGCTCCGAGGGAGAGAGGGAGAGGATGGAAGAGAGAAAACGGCAACAGCGGTTTATAGGGCAGGCATTTAAACAAAAGTGAAGGAGAGGAAAACTAACGGAAAGGTATAGGCAAAAAGAAAGAGGTTAAAAGAGAAGAAACAGAAGGAAAGGAGTTACAGGAGAAAAAGAGCAACAGAAGCAGAGATAGGTAAGACCATTAGTTGTGTCCATCAGTTGTTTCAACTATTCATTTAAAAAAACAAAACAGCAGTAAAGCATGAAGGAGCTGTTTTCTAAGGTTAAAGGGTCCATTTAGCGTCATTGTAAATCCCTGTATATGCTGTGACAGTCATGTTCAACAGCTGTTCATTGAAAACTCTCAAGAAGTGGAATTTGTGTCAAGAAATATATCCTATCTTATAATATGTATTCTGATCTGATTAAGTCTTGCAAATAATAAGATTTAAAAAATGTATTAAAACTAAAATAAATATTGACAAGCTGCTAAGTATGCTAAGTATCCAGCAAATATTAAGCTTATAGATAACGATAAGATGAGGAAATAAGTTGAGATATGCTAAGTGGATGTTGGAGAGAAACAGAGTGTTGTTGAACCCCCCCCTTCCCCCATCTCTCCTCATCCCTCTCACAAGTACTTGCACAAACAGAAATGCCTCGTATAAGTCTACTGACAAGGCTGGCTGTTTGTCAGAGTTTGTGTCGGTCACGTAACCGCAGGCGTTTCTTTTTGCCTATCTGAACAACTGGGTTACTTGAACGCTGCTAATTGACAGTGAAATAAAAAGTTGTACAGCTCTTGCCTCTAGACAAAGTCTGTGTGAAGAAGTACTTTCTTGATGAAAGGACAAAGCACATAGCATCTCCTCTCGTACAGGAGATGAGTTTATGACGCAGGTCTGCAAAAAGCGTGTTTAACCCACGTTTGACCCCATTCATATGAAACTGCTGTCACAGCTCAGTCATATACAATTATACTGCACCGTGATGAATGCCAGCTTCCTAATACTGACTTACATTAGATGCTGTACAGATGGTTTTACTGCAATAAACTATTCAGTGTGTACTGCGTATGTATGAAGAGAAGCTTCGATAAAAACTGCTATTGTTTATATGGAGTGTGGGAAGAAGAGAGAAAGAGGAGGGGTTTAGGGGGAGATAATGTGAGTGGACGATTGGAGGGGATTGAAAAGGGGGCCCGGAA